GTTAATGCATTTGGTTGCTAACTGAAAGGCAGCATCTCAGAGACAGCTGGTTTGGGCTGTTTATATGCTTATGAATTAATAATTAGAAATTAAGCATTTTTGTTAGGCCTAGCCAGTGCCAAAGATAAGAAGAGGAAAAATATCAATATTAAATGAGACATATTACTTGCAGGTTATTTTGATTGTGTGTGAGCATAAAGCGTATACAACAGGTTGGAATGAAAGTAAGTTGTAGAGAAGATCAAAGTGAACTGCAAAACAAATAAAAAATTCAATGTCTATACCCACTAAAAAGACATTTTTGAAAACTAAAAACACATCAAAAACTATTCAACATAAAATAAAGAACCACAATGTCCAAGATTCATGTCAGAGAATTTTAAACTGAAGGACATTACTAAATCAATGGAGTCATTTTAATATATAACAATTAGGAAATAATAAGTCTGAGAAAAGTTAAGACTCTTTAATAAGTGCTTCTCCGAAAATTGGTTGCTTACCCATTAAGAGAAATATGTATCACTGTGTTATGCTAAACTCAAAACCATTTCTAGAAGAATTAAAGGTCAAATATATGAAGCAAGCTTGCTCCATAAACCCTGCTACAGTAGTGGATAATATAAGTGAATTAAAAACAAGCTGAAGGAGGGAGAGGACTCTTAAGATATCAGCACAGTATGGCTCAAGCAAACAAAAATGGCCACAATAAACCGAGAAGCCTGCTTGCTAATGCTGTCGGTTTCTGTCTAATCCATACGGAGTCATGATCACCTCCTGTCTGCAGCGTAGAACGACACAGGCCTGTGGACCTGTTGTCTGAGGCCCATTGGGGTAAGTTCCAATTGCCAACCTTTCAGCTAATACAAAATGTATAGATGTTTATACCGTACAGTGATCTAGTAGACTGACAGGGAGCATAATCAAGCTACCATCACAGAAGTCAAAGACATGACCTACTCTTTTGCCCAGTGATCCTTATTTTTGACTGAAATTAAGTCGTCGTCGATGACAGCCCAGGGAGACTTTGCACATGAACCGACAGCCTCTCATCTACCACAGGTTTCCTTTTCACCTTGACTGACAAGGATCTCAAAATTAAACCTAGGTTGTAGTTGAAGGCACCGTCTAATACCTCGGGACCAAACACACTTATGGTCTCTTTCTATGGTAATGGGCTTTGTTTGGCCTAGTTGATAAATGTTTAGATATTGCAAAGTGCTAGAAATAATAGAGCACCAGACCCAGCAGTGTTTTGTTCTGTGGTACCTAGTGGTACCATGACTTTTGTCTGACTTGACAGCCCTCGCAACAACAACAACAAGTTAAACGATAAGCATCGCTTTATATATTATGGTTAGCTTCGTTTCTTAGTTTATAAATTGTGGCATAAAGGAATTTTTCAAGTTGAGATGTTGCAGCACAACTCTTTGTCCTGTACTTTTGGATGTAAGTTCCAATATATAAAGAGTGGAAAATGAGTATATTCTTAAAATACTTTCATTGATTTCTATCGCAGTGTTTCATTTTAACTCTATACTGTATACTCAAATGTGTTGATTTTTTGAGATCCTAAATATATTATCCTAATTATAAACTAATAAAAGTTTTCTCTTTTGTTCGCTTTTTGCCAAATGTACCATTCTTACAGCAGGCATTCAGTGAAACTAATTGACCAACCAAGTGCCCACCAATAGGGTAATTAACATACTATGATTTATTCATAGTTTCAATATTATTTATCAGTTTAAAATGTAGGTAAATTGACAAATCGTATTGGTGACAAAAATAATGGCCAAAAACACATATTTTCTTTTTAAAAAAATCATTTTATTAAGGGCTCACACAACTCTTATCACAATCCATACATATATTAATTGTGTGAAGCACATTTGTACTTTAATTGCCCTCATCATTCTCAAAACATTTGCTCTCCACCTAAGCCCCTGGCATCAGCTCCTCATTTTTGCCCTCTCTCCCCGCTCCCCCTTCCCTATGAACCCTTG